CCCCCCCCCCCCCCGTCATTGTTTTGGGAACTTCCAGAACTTCCGGTGCAATTCCCACAATGCTTTGCAGTCCTTTCTGCTCTTTAATCCTAGTCTCTGTTGGTACTCTACCAACTGATCACTCAAAATCTGTATGAATGTGTTAATACGTTTGTAGAATAAGATTATAACTTTTTTTTGCCTGACTGATTACATATATGATGTAGTCATTATGTTGGTAGTTTTAATGCCCTTGCCTTTTTGTAAAAAATAAGAGCATGAATAGTTCAGATCAGATAAGACAAAAGGATAATACCATCTATTTTCAAAGACAAATTTTTCTGGAAATAGAAACTTCAACTGATGGTATTTATATATTTATTTATTTAGCTAAATTACAAGTACAATCCAGAGGCCTGCCTAATATTAACTGTGGTGAAATTTATTTGAATGGTAAATAGCGAGACAAAGAAACTCTCCTGGGTTAATGGTGAGGCCATTTTGTAGCAGTCATTGGTACAATTCACAAAATTTACTTTTGCAGCTCACTGTATATTTCTAAGTGATTCCTTATTTTTACAAACAACTGATTAAGGTAGATATGTGTTTAAGAATTTTGTATTTCAAAATGCTCAGTGTTTTCTCTATTTAGAAAAAATGATTTAAGTTGATGTGATTTTATATATATACAATGTATATATATGTAATCTCAAACTTGAATTATGAGTCATGGGAATAAATTGCACACAAAAGCTTGAGAGCACTGTAGATTATTTAGTAAAACGGTGAAAACAGTGGCAAGGTAGTGACACAGTGTCTCAAGAAACATAAAATAATGATTTATCTATTAGAACAATATTAGTGGTCATAATGTAGACATAAATTTTCATTTCCTAGGTATTTGAAAATATTGTCATCATTATAAACTTTCCAATATCCAACTGTGAAAGTTTCCCTATCATTTTCTTGTGCATATTTTGTTCAGTTAAATAATTAACTGAGTGTCCAATTTGCACAGATTCTAATTTAGGCTGACTTTGTCTTTCTGATCTTCATATTCTATGCCTGAGTTACCTTTTATATATACTAAAATTATCCTAGAAAAAGTCACAAATTGTGTAACTTTATACTTAAAACTGAATCTAAATTTGAATTGCTATTTAATAATTTCAATTTATATGTATTTTAAAGAGCATGCATAAAATTATTTGGAATGATACATATGTGGTTCTAAATTCTATCTTTTTTATTGATTTTTATTGAGCTCCACATTTTTTTCTGCTCCCCTCCCTAAGGAGATGGAAGGAACTAATTGAATCATTACTATCCTACTGCGTAAGACTTGGTACCACTTCATTACAATGTATATGCCTTCCAATCAGCTTTATAAAGATTCGTTGCCCCCACTAGCCCTATGATTCATCTGATAATTGCTTGACCTTTCATATCCATAGATATGAATGAGGGTTTCCAAGCTAAACTATAGGAAAGTCAACAGAAAACTGTTGGAACCTCTTTCCCTTGGGTTTGGTGATAATCATTTTTGTCTTATTGACAAAATTGAAAGTATGTAGACAAATGTGTGCTTATAGTAACTTTAGTAGACATTTCACAAGTTTATGAAAGTGGCATATTTGAAATATGTGTTGCCAGTCCTATGTTTTAGTAAATATGTCATGCATTGTAAGACATACAGTCTTAATCTATTAAAAACCATTGGTGAACACACAAACACCAATGGCCTGAGTACTTATTGGGTCATTTTTTTCTTCCTAACTGAAGATATGCTATTTCAGGATCAATGTGGGCACGAGTATATTCCAATTTCATGTGTTTTGGTCTATAACATAATGGCTAGTTAAGTGATACAAATTAATTCACACTGAATTTATATTTTTATTTTAAAACTATACTTTAGGAATATTTTAATATTGATGCTACAGCTTTATAAAGTAATTCCCTACGTGGTTATTTTATTGAATAATGATAAGCATGTTCTCTGCCCTAGATACCACCTCTGATAAAATATAGCCTGGGGTTTTCTGTTCTGAGGTTTTTCCCTCCCTTCTTCTGCTTGAATATCCTTTTACAAAATTATACTACAAGTAACTTATGTTATTATTTTGCATTTGACACATACTTTTCCCCATTGACCCGCTTAAGTCAAACACAATCATAAATCTCATCCTGGAGGTTTAAAGTATGTTTCTTCACTGTTATTTCTAGTCGATGTCTCTTGGGTTTGTGCCTCCTCTACTATTCCAACAAAGGATGACACAATCACATTTACTTAAGTTAGGTTTCTTCCTACCATTGTCACAGATGACGCTGAAAAAGAATGTAGAGCTGCAATCTATAGTTTCCTCCTTTTGTCTTTAAGTTAAAATGGTCAGAAGTCATCCTGAGATCCCTCCCTGTAATGATCTCACAAAAGTTCTGAATTCTTTTTGAACCATATGCTTTTAACAACATCCATTCTTAATCCAAGCATTCTTATCTGTCCTCTCAAAATTCTTGTCCTCATTTAGATGTTTAAGTTTTCTCAGAAACCTATTATTAATCTTGTACCTTGAAAGTCTAAATTTTTAATGTTTTCCTAATCCCTAAATCCTGCAGTTATGTTGATAAAAAGACAAATTGCCAGTGGTCAATGTAAGTATTTTATATCTACCCAGTGGCAAAAATCATTAATTTAATAACATAGATAAATTACTGTGTATTCCATTTACCCCAGAACTTGCCCTTGAGTCCTATTTTCAAAATGCTAACTAACCTTTGAAATTTAATTCCTATTCCATCTTAACTTATGAAACATGATATTTTTATTAGTTAAAGAATAAACAACTGGGCTGAAAAATAAATATCATTCTACCTAATCATATTTTATACATTATTGTTTAGACCTGAAGTTTCCATACTCTTCAGAGTGAAAAAGAAAATACTTAAATTGTCTTAAAATGAAGTTAATATTGTCATCCTAATAAGATTTAGATACTTTATCCTCTGTTAATGTTCTCTTCAATGTGCAAAGCCTTTTATAAGAAGAAATCAAATTAATCTTAAATGGACATTGAATACTATGAAAATAGAAATATGCATAATTCATCTCTTATGAATTTAGACCACAAACATATACAATACATAAGATATGCTGACGAAAAGCTTATTATTGAAAAGAAATTAAAGCTCAGAGTATACCAATTGGTTATTCAGTGCCAAATTGTCAAATCTAAAAAAGTACATACAAGTCACATTATCTGTATTGAGAAGGTAGTATTGAAGAATACATACATACATATATATACTTGCAATATGGAAAAAGGAGGCAATAAATTTGAAGGGGAGTGATGACGAGTACATGGGAGGTTTGATGGGAAGAAAAAAAAGGGAAAATGTAATTATATGATAATCTCTTTAATGAAATAAAATAAAATTAAAGTGTGAGTGGTCAAATCAAATTATATTCTACTGTAAAATATTATTCGATCTCAATATAGAATCAATCTGACTTGTTTTTCCTTTCAGGGTATTTGGGTGCCTGAAGGTGAAACAGTGAAAATCCCCGTGGCCATTAAGATCCTTAATGAGACAACTGGCCCCAAAGCCAATGTTGAGTTCATGGATGTAAGTACACAAACCACAGTCATATTTTTATTTATTGCTAAATACGGTGCTTGAAAATAAAATAATGAAAGGATCAACCACCTTTCAAAGCTTCTTCTCTGAATGTGTTATAACCTCACATCTTATTATACCTTTCAAGTCATCCCTAGTTTGCAGCTATCTGCCATGACTGTACTCTTAGGGAAATATTTATAATCCCTATGTTGAATTTGCTTCTGTGAATTAAGCATGTTGCATTTCATTTTACTTATAATTTGGATTATACTCAGACAGAAATGCATTTATTAAAGGCGGTACAACAGTGTCAAAAGTACTGGAATGGTGACAACAGTAAGTCATTTTTATAAGTCATTCTTTTATAAGCACTTATTTAGAGAGTACATATAAAGCGCTAACAATGGTCTAAATATCATTGACTCACAAAGTCTGTAATAGATTTCAAACAGTCTTCTAAATAACTGACAAATGACAGACCAGACCAACCTAACTCAAGGCTAACCCGGTTTAGCCCAAGATTATCCCAGCTTAGCCCAAGGTTAGCCCAGATTGTAGAGACGCTTTCAGTTCAGTCCGTTGAGCCTGACTGGAAATAATTTCTTACAAAAGCAGAGAACAGTGAGGATTTGCCTATCTTGTGTTCAATGTGCCAACTCCTCAGTCTGCCCTTTCTGCTGGGTAATTAAGACGAAACTGTGTATGAATGAGTCTGCCTGGGCTCCAACAAAATATCCAATAAGTAAAATGGTAAGAATGTTTGCTTTAAGAGTGGACCCGCTCTCAGGAACACAAGTGTGACGACAACAAGAACAGCATTTTGGAAGTCTGAAGCCACTTTGAAAAATTAATTTGGATTCTTTACTTCTTGTATTTATAATTTATTGAGCTAAAAAAGAATCAAGATTAGTGTTTCTAGCCAGTTAGTCTTTCCTATATTTCAACAGGAACCTCTTTAAAACCTAACTTCTCGAGCGATATTTACTCTTTTCAGTTCAGATTCATCAAACAGGACTGTGATTAAAGCTTCAACTAGAGAACAATAAAGATGGGGATAAGGAATAAAAGTCCTTGATGAGGTCAATCAGAGCTTGCAGATTTTCCCCAGTGAAAGTTGTCGATTGGGCTGTTCAGCTTTAGAGAGTAGGGTGGAATACCATTAGATGTCTAGCCTGCTGCTGCTTTTTCACATTGAACGCAAGAGATCTTACTGGGGATTCTGGAATAGATCCATATACATTCTTTCTCTGTCTTTTAGCATCATCTCGTCAATAATAAGAATGATTTTGATTTTAAAGTGACCTTTACATAAAAGAGAGTGCAAGAAGCATATGCACTTTCTTTTTCAAAACAGATTGCTATATATTCTTAGCCAGCCTCTTCTGAAAGTTCCTTTGTAGGTTTAAAGAAACTCAGTATATGACCTTGAGAACTTTGAAAGCAATGCTAACCATCTTTTATAAGACTATTATAGCTTAATTTGATATTAATTATTACATTGTAGGACTGAAAATGGTACAAGCATCTGCAGCTCTGGAAATGGTGTCTGTGTGTATCATTTGCTAAATAATTAAAAAACCACCCTTCTTGCCTTACTAGCAACACTTATATAATAAATGTTGCATATACAATAGCTAAATATTTTTCTGCAGGTTGTTAAAGGTTATTACACTCCATGCAGCTAAATGTCTGGCTCATATGTTGCTATTTAGAATGGAAGACATTTTCAATAATGCCCTAATCATTCAATTTTACCCAGATCATAGTTATGAACTCAGGAAGGAAAATTTCAAATTAAATAGTAATTACAAGGAAAAATTACAGTAAATAAAAAGCAGAAGTTCATATATAAAACTGATAGAAGATCAAACTTGGCCACCTTGAGCTACAGCCAAAGCTATAATTCACAAGAATGCTAATAATCTCTGCTGGAGGCTTGGACAGTCATATTTCCATGGAAACAGTCTGGCAAAAGAGGGTTAAGAGGCTACAAAATAATCACGTAAAAAGAAGCTCTAAAAACCTCATCATGATTTCGAATGATTATTTGAAAGCTCCTAACCCCATTCATCCACTCCCCTCCCCCTTGATCTGAAGCCTATTCCCATGGAAACAGGAGTAGGATGGGAGCTTGAAGACTTAGCTTTCCGTTGAATTTAAGATGAGCCTCTGATTGAGCCATGAAAGGAATCATTTTCCTAGATGGGTGATGGATTTGGTAACTAACAGACTCAAAAAAAATTTATTCTTTTTTTAAAAGTAAAAATTAAGAATTTATTTTTTGATATGGCTTTCTTAACTTTGGGTAGGTGCTAGAGACTTAACAGCTTGCTGGCTTTTTTGATAAGAAATATTTTCTATCTTGGTGACTTGTTTTAAACTATCAGAGTGATAGCATCACACTGATTAAAATCATTTTAACAGGCAACAATGACGGTGAATGCAGTTTCAGTAAATTAGTATAACTTTCGTGTAAATGAATGGCTACATTTTGTATCTTCATTTTTAGATTATCCACGTTGTTTGGAAAGCATTTTAAGTATTTATAACAGCTCAAACCAAAAGGGAACGTCCATGGAGGGAAACCTGGATACAAGTTGAGCCAAAGGACAGAGATGAAATTACAAGTCATCCAGTAATAGTCAAAGTAGTATGTTTGCTGAATGTCTTAGTCTGAGTGCTTCCAGAAGCACATGCTGCTCATGTAATAAATATTTGAGTAGAAGTAATTTATGCTACAGTTGAATGATTTGTCCTTGGAAAAGTATGGAAATAAGACAAGGAAACTACTACCTATCACTATGATGCCTGTAGCCTCCTTCTGTTTGAGAAGTCACACAATCTAGTACTAATTGTCCTATTCAAGATTTAAGAGAGTACTCTCCTAAACTGCTTTGGTTGATAGTTGCTGGGAGAATGAGAGAACCAGAGCACTTATTCCAGCTCCTACACCATTGACTAGTGGTTATGGACAGAGGGGTCTTAATATCTTCATGACTTACCTGTTGAGGATGGCAGAAAAAAGGCTACAATGACAAGGAAAACTGTAGGAGAGGGGCCTGCTTGTTCGTCCCAGCTGCCCAGCTTAGCTCCAAAATAACCACACAGAAACCGTACGAATTAAATCACTGCTTGGCCCATTAGCTCTAGTTTCTTATTGGCTAATTCTCACATCTTAATTTAACCTATTTCTATTAATCTGTATATCACCACGAGGTTGTGGCCTATCAGCAAAGTTCTAGCATGTCTGACTCTGGCAGCGGCTCCATAGTGTCTCTCCACCTCCACCTTCCTCCTCCCAGCATTCAATGCAGTTTCCCCCCCGCCTACCTAAGTTCTGCCCTATCATAAGGCCAAGGCCATTTCTTTATTCGTGAATGATAATCACAACACACAGAGGGGACTCCCACATCAGAAAACCATTAGGCAAAAGAAGTGCCTGGCCACCAGGTGTTGTAGCAACATAGTAACGTATTCAGAAGCTTTTATACAAAAATGAGATCCTCTGAAACCATACCATGAGTATCTTTTGCACACCAATGTCTGTGTGTACTTCTTTTTATATGTGCATGTGTTTTTTCGTATATTATTAGATCTCAAAAAGCCAAAGCTTACAAAGAAACTGAAAACTACAAACACCTATTAAACATTAGTCTCCTTTACACTTACTCTGTTTATCTCTATAGCAGATTACACATTTTATCATGTTGATAAGGACATGAGTAATGAATATGTATTTATGTGTGTGTTAGTGTTTTTTTTAAACAAATGGCAAAAAAACACTGCAGCTTAATATTCAAATCTCCTCCCCCACAACGAGCACCTCTATGGATATCCAAGGACAAAGCAAAGACTCTCCTATTCTCTTTAAATTTTTACCACGAGCAGAAAGTAAATCAGGGGCAGGCAGTGTTTTATCAAATGTTTCACTAAAAGCGGCAGAAGGAGAATTTGGTCACAGGGCTGCTACTTATCTGGCCTGAACATGTCTAATGGATTCATAATGACAATAATAACATGCTGCTATTGAATGGCCAGTGCATTCTTCATTCCCATAAAGAAAGATCACATTGAACGACATTAAGGGAATGACTGAAGGTCTCCCTTCATAAGAAGGATGCCTACATTAATAGACACTTCGAATTCTTATTTCAAGGAGCACAGTTTCTCGCAGAAAACGCAAACTGCTAGGAAGTTTCCTTGGTCTTTTTTTATTATTGGTATTTTGGGTGAGCTTTTTTTTGTATTTTTAAAAAAATACATCAAATTGTGTAGAAGATATATTTATCCACAAAGAGTCCTGGGAAATGAGTCAGACTGTTGGTTTGTCTGAGTGTCCATCACTCTATTTTTCCCAGGACATTTAAACTCATTATCTGTTGATATTGTTTTAAAATATTTTAGCAAAATTATTTGCTTTATTTAAAAAAATAATCTGGGAATGGAAAAATTTGTATAATTATGCTAAATTCTAGGAATGGGTTTCCAACACTGGCTCGGAGCTTGTGTGAATCTAATTGACTCTAGGTCTGTTTTTCCCATGCTACATTTACAATAGTTCATGACCAGGTGGTTTGAGGAAAGACATTTCTTGTGACCAGACTATATCAAGTAAATTGTATCATTTGTGGGGGGAAATAATTTTCTTTTTGCTGTATCAGAAGGACTTTTTTTTTTATCTTAGCCAACTGTCAAATACTGAAGTAAAGTTCACATGACTTTTTGTTTATCCTTTCTGTATTATATTTGTGATACTCAGGATCTGGATGAGAGTAAATTCTTCCAACTCTAATTGTCGTCATTATGTGAGTGGGATGAGAAACCTATAATCTATTCACATTATTTAGCAACCTTGCAAAATGATGGAAAAACTTTAGCTGTTTTTTCACATTGCAAAATTTCCTTTGTGTGACTGACTACATTGTCAATGATGAGTTTTAGATTATCCATCTCATTAACAATTTATTCTTAAAAATTTATGTTATTTAATCCAGTTATTCATGTTC